GCTCCTTTTTTATCAGCTTCTTGAATTCAACTCTTCTTGTCAGCAGGGCAGCTCCTATTTTAATTCTTTAATCTTTTCCTGAAATAAAAATCTCAAAACCAGTATGTGCTTCAGACCTTCTCAGTCCTAATAGCTTTGGTGTTTAAAAAGCCTACAATTTAGCACCGTGAGGCTGCTGAACGGATGCAAACCAAAAGCGAGGTGCAGGAGCTGCAGCAGACGGCCAGCCCAGCAGAGGCTGGCTTCCTAGAAGAAGCCTAGAGCTGTCCTGGTGATGGCTTCATCCCAAGAGCATCCCAAGATGCCACCAGCTGTAGAGACTCCAGGTCCTGCCTCACCGACCACCCCAGCCAAGTGACCAGCAGGACATCGGGCTGGGCTGTTAAAGATGCACCATGACCTTCACGTGGAGCAAAGATTCTTCTTGGTTTTTTGAGTGCATGACACATGGATGAAGTAGGGACATGTAACCGAAATAAAATGTGTTGGACGGCAGGAACACGGCGTGTGGAGGGATGGGTGGGACTGGCCACCGTTGTCATGGGTTTGGCAATGCTTAACGAGCCAAATAATTAATCTTGGTGCTGAACTTTGTGGGTTTAAAGTATTTGTTGCTAAGCGAAGGGGTCTTCCATGGACATAGTGGTGGTGGTCTCATGCGCTATGGCTTGTCAAGCAGCCATCTCCCACTGGAGAGCTGGCTCCTTGGAGGGTGAGAGCAGAGAACTGGGCTCTGCTCTCCTGAAGGATCAACCTCCCCCTTTGGGGCAGCACTTCACCAGGTGGGAACGCTGTACACCACGTCCTACGGTGGTAGCTGTGAGTTCTGGGGGTCATGAGGAGGAGGAGGAGAAGGGAAGATGCTGTGGATGGCTGTTCTGAACTCCTGCTCCGGGCTTGGAGCCCGTCTGGCACCCATCGAAGCATCTCTCCAGAGCAAGAGGCACCACTTTACCCGCCTTTACATTAAAGAAAGAGCACCTGCAGCACCAATAAATAGTCAAAACCTGGAATATTTCTGCAGAAAGCAGTGCTTTAAAAAAAAATAAACAGGAGGGGAAAGCCAGCTGGAAAGCTTTTCACTGATTGCATCGGTCCTTGGTTTGTTACCCTCTCACTTCTTCCTGCTCCAGCCTCATCGGATGCTCCAGGGCACGAAATACACACGGCATCACATGGGAAATGCAACTGCTGCATTTTACACAATTCCACCCCATTGACAGTGCTGAAACACGAGGTCTGGGAAGAGTCAAGTGCGAGGAAGGTGCAGACACAGACACCACCTGATTTGCTCCAAGGAATATTTTTTTTTTTCCTGCATAAAAATTTCCTGCCGTTCGCACCGTCTCTCCCGAAACAGACTGGACCCTTCTCCAAACGTGACCTTTCCTTTGCCCGCATATAAAATAGAGAAAGGAAATTGTATTTGTTTGCTTCCAAACTAGAATTGTGGGCTGACTTGCCAGCCAGAAAAGGCTCTGTATTTCTGTACTAGAGGTGGACTCCCCAGCTTTGTGAAACGTGTCACTTCTTTTGTACCAACCCCGTCCTTGATTTTGCATTTCCACTGGACCTTCCCGTTTTTCGTGGTTCGGATGCAGCACTTGGTTTGTTGTGAACACTTCAGCACATGCACACTGGCTGTAGCTTGCCTTTGCTCTGTAATTTTTTTCCATTTTTTTAGGGGAAAAAAAAAAAAAAGGTTTGTTATTCTTCTCTTTTAAAAAAAGTAATTTAAAACCTGTATAGTATTCCAAGCACGCAATGTAAATATTTATTACTCAGAAATCGGTGGAGGGCTCTCTTTTGTGACGAAGTTGTGGTTTTCGTTTTTAAAGCTTGTTCTAACACAGATGTCCCGTGCGGGGGGTGGGAGAGGTGCCCCGAGGTGTCCCACCCATCCCCTCTGCCCTGATAAACTGCTTTTTGGATTTGCTGACCGTTTTAAATATATTTTCAAACCTTTCCTGCTGAGCCGCACCTTTAATTTTGAAGATAGCTGTCCAAAGAGCCTGCACAGTCTGTTTGAGAACTGTAACCTCACTGTGCTGTGAACTTGGGGGTTTTTTTTCCATTCAGAGAACTTAGTAACGTTGTGTTTGAGAGTGGCATTAACACCACAAGTGTGCAAATCTCTCGTTACACGGAGCAGCAGCGATGACTTGTCTCCGTGCAGCAGCCGGGGCCGTCGCAGCGCGTAACTTCAAACATGACTTTCAGTACAACATCATTCCTACGGAGCTGACCTTGTGTGGGATCTTCCAGTACAAACTACCCTCAGAAGAGGCTCCAAGGTCCTGCAGCAGGAGCAGGGAGCACCAGGCTGGGAATAACACTGGTGTTATAACACCATTCACCTGCCTCCGTCGGAGACCACGACGAGGAACCAGAGGGTGTGGGATTTTCCAGCAGAAACCCGACGAGCCGGACGAGTTGGTACCAACTGAACTCATGAACTCGTAAATAATGAGTGCAATTTACAATTATCTTCTTCATGCACACTGCCTGCGTGCAGGACTGTCAGGAACATTCACTCTTTGTTCTAGAGACAGCAAAGTATGTTGTAAAATACTAAAGGCGATGGTAAGTAGAAAGCAGACAGGAATGGGCAGTCTTTGACCCGTGTCCACCCTCCTGGGACCTGGAGTTCTGGATGACTAGAGATTTTTGAAGAGTCGTTTATCTGAAAGGAGGAAGTTTTGGGGAGGGAGAAGGAAGCTCTGCAAGTCTGTGGGTGGTACCTGAAGTTGCACCGGCCGTTCGGGGACTAATGGTGGGTCCCTGCACAGTCCTAAGGAGAACAGGCAGCTTCCCTTAGTTCTGTCCCAGCACAGCTTGAACCCATAACCAGAGGGGATTCACTTTGCATTAAAACCACGCACACACCACGCTTGTACTCTGGAAAGGACCCAAAGGAATGGTGAGGAATGAGGACACAAGAGTCATTTCCCAGCTTCTGTGACGATGGGACACTGCAGCCTCACGGCCATGGAAAATCCCAGTGGCTCAAACCCAGGAATGATCACAGTGGGGAGAGGAGGCAGCATGTTGTCCCCAAGCCCTATCCATAGGGTGGAACAGCCTCTTTTAAGGGGCATTTTCCACACAGATGAGTCTGGGAAATAACACCTCACACGTGGCGTCTTCTCTCTGCAAAGAGGAGTGGGTGCTGGAGGCTCCTGTTTCTCAGCAAGTCCCTCTCTCCTCCCCTTCTCCCTTCCACTCCAGTTTTATTTCAACGCTTTTCTAAGAGCCACTGTTCCCCATCAACTGCTCGCTGTAATAGAAACGTCACTTTCTCTCACAGTATTTATTCCTTACAAACTCTTGTGCGACACGCTAGGTTCCCATGGGTGTAGCTGATCGTTTTTATTTTGTAAATATAACTACCTAACTTTACATTAACTATATCGTAATAAACTATTTTTGCACCACCCTTTGCATGCTGCGTAGCGAGGTGTTTCTTTCAAAAAGAGCGCAGAAAGAACAGCACAGAGGCCAGAGCCTGGAAATGGGTGAGCTGTTTGCTTTTATAGTCAACACTTCACAAAGATAAATGCAACAGGTAGCATTTAAATAGCAATAACGTGTTTAAAGTAGTGTAAATCTAATGCTGCTGAACGTGATTTGCGAGAGAATGACCTTCCTCAGCCTCTTCCATAGCTCCTACACCAGAGAGAACAGTATTCTTCCCCCAGACCCACACCAACTTTCTCAAACAGAATACAACAAATCTGCAATCTGTTGCTATTACTCCATGTAGCTTAAATAACACCTAAGGATCTAAAGGAATGAACAAATCTGTAATCTGTTGCTCCATGTAGCTTAAATAACACCTAAGGATCTAAAGGAATTTCTTCTGATTTGGATCTTTGGAACAACCAACCCACAAGGACTGCCTGGAGTGCAAAAACCAGATGACACTGAGCTTTTCTGTGAAAATGCCCATCCTACTGGCATTTAAGAGTCCCACTCCCAACACTACTGCATCAAGCGAAACTGGTAACAAAATGTTAAGCCCAGTTTTCATTTTGAGAGATTTTCAGGCACTTTATATTCAGTATAAAGTAGCTCTTAAACAGATGCTATTTAGTTTTGAAATTCCCAAGATTATACCCATCTTTGTTCCACCCTGAACAGCAGGGACAGAGATCGTGTCTCCCTCTTGCTGTTCACTTGCTGTCCCATCCTGCTGCTGCCACCACAGTCACCCTAAGACCAGGACACAGTGTCCCCACCTAAATTAACTGAGGGTTCCTTCCACCGCTCCAGCCAGGTCTGCTCTCAGGACTGACTGATCCCAAAGTTTCTCTCACTTCTTTCCAGACTTCCCTACACTCACTTGCTGGAAGATGAGCTGCCATCAGTATCTCTTCTCACACTTTCACGCTGGAGCTCTGCTAATCTTAAACCAAAGGAAATGTGTACACAATCAAAACCTACTTCTAATTTCTGCTTTCACATTTCCCAAAAAATTTCTTTTGCAAACTTCCAACAATTAATGCCAACAAGAAATGTAACTAAGGTGCTTAACACCTCTACACAAACTCAAGATTGGCCCTAAACTTCTTTAGAGTTACTGATGTAGAAGAGACTCACTTCTTTCCAGACTTCCCTACACTCACTTGCTGGAAGATGAGCTGCCATCAGTATCTCTTCTCACACTTTCACGCTGGAGCTCTGCTAATCTTAAACCAAAGGAAATGTGTACACAATCAAAACCTACTTCTAATTTCTGCTTTCACATTTCCCAAAAAATTTCTTTTGCAAACTTCCAACAATTAACGCCAACAAGAAATGTAACTAAGGTGCTTAATATCTCTACAGAAACTCAAGATTGACCCTAACTTCTTTAGAGTTACTGATGTAGAAGAGACACTGGGTTACAATTCCATTCTGCAGTATCCCAAGATGGAAAATGTCCACTGAAACACCTACCCAGCACTGTACGAAGAGACATCGAGTTGTGGTTTAGGCTGAATTGGCCTATGATGAGCACTGTACGAAGAGACCTCGAGTCATGGTTTAGGCTGAATTGGCCTATGATGGCACCAGGGCATGGTAATGAGCCTGCCTGTGGTTCTAAGCTCTAGGAATGCACCTCTATCCTCACAGAACAACTCACCAAAGAGCTGGGTCGTTCCTCTGGCACAGGAATGACCCACTGCAAGGGACCTGTGTCACTTCAGGGTAGAGAGCATTTTGCTTCTCTGGAGGAGCTGACCTAAATTACACCCAGGTGGATAATACAATAATGTCCATACGTAATAAAAAAGTCCATGGATGTTCTCTGTTAAGTCCTCCACCAGCCCTGTGGGGCAGCTCAATCATTTACTGTCTTTGGGAAAAAAATCTGTAGTTGATGGGATTGTACTCTTCCCAAATCCTTTCAAACTCATCCAGAAAAGGTTTCACATACTCAGCATCCTCCATGACCAGCACGTTCTCCCGGTTGTTCTGGATCGCGTGGGTGGTCCAGTTGAGGGAGCCCGTGATGACCATCCTCCCGTCCACGATGGCGAACTTGTGGTGCATGTACCCGCTCTCCTGGTCATGGCGCACCTGGATCCCTACAAAGACACAACCACCTCCTCAGCGCTGACCGACGCCATCACCCCGGGCCACAGCCACCCCACCGCCCGGCTGTGCCACGCCGGGCCCTGCCCCGCGGCGGTGGCCGCCTCACCGGCCTGTCGGAGGAGGCCGATCTGGGAGCCCTGCAGCCCCATGTACTGGGCATCGGTGACGATACGGACGCGGACGCCGCGGCGGTGGAGGAGCCGGACGGCGCAGCCCAGCTGGGGGCTGGAGAAGGCGAAGAGGCAGATCTCCAGGGAGCGGCGGGCGGTGAGGAGGCGGCTCAGGAGGCGGTTGAGGGAGCAGTCACCGTGAGACAGCGGGCAGGGACAGGGCCGCGACGCCACACCGGCCCGGCCCGCCGCCGCCACCGCCACGGGCCCCGCCGCCTCGGCCAGCAGCGCCTCCGTGCAGCTGGGCGGCGAAGGGAAGAAAAGCACCTCGCGTAGGGGCCGGGGCCGCCGCCGCCGCCGCCACGCCGCCAGCGCCAGAGATCGGAAGAG